GAGGGTGGGTGATGGGTATTGAGGAGGACACCTTTTGGGATAAGCACTGGGTGTTGTATGGAAACCAATTTGACAATAAACTTCGTATACTGAAAAAAAAATACATAATAAAAAAAATTAGTTTATTCAGATTGCTACAAAAATGACATGTTTGGCTAAAACAAATCTGCTTTCTACAAAGAAATATTAAATGTATTTAGTTTAACTTTCAAATAATTGAAGTTCCTAAAGTATATCTAATACCATGCCATAATGTGGTTCAGGCTTTGGTTAAATGATGATTCTTAGAGTGCCTCCGATCATCATGAACAATTTATTTGAATAATACCATACATTACAGGAAGAATCCAGAAACTGTGTTCTTCCCCTCCCAAATCTTCTATTTTTGTGCTGGGTGCTCCTCAAAATAGGTTTATTAATATCTCTATCTTATAAATGAGGAACTTCTGGCTTAGTGAGAGACAAAGCAACTTAGTATGAGATACTAAATAACATATGGCAGGATTGGAATTCATAAAAGTCTGTCTCCAGAGCTTGTACTAGTTTCTACATGACCCTGCTTCTCACCATGCTCAACCATCTGTTCATCCTTTGTCTTACCATGAGAGTTAACAAAAGGCATTATTTTCTTAGCGGTTTACTTTGACAGACTCTCTGCTGATTAGTTTTCTTTTTACTTTGCAATGAAGTAAAACATAGTAGCAGAAAAGTATACATATAGGTGCTCATATCAAAAAATTCACAAACTGAATGCAGAAAAAGAACATTAGCAGCACCCCACAGGCTTCCTTGTGCCCCCTTCTCGGTACTTCCCACCACCTTACCCTCTGAGTAAACACTAGTCTGACCTCTGGCAGTGTAGTTTTGACTGTTTTTTGTACTTTATATAGAATCATTAGGTAGATCTTCTTCTGTGTCTGGCTTCACTGGCTCAACATCTGTTTGTGAGATTCATCTATATTGTTGTATGTAGTTGGTGCAGAAGAATTAACATAGTAGGCCTGAACTTCCATCTTTGAAAAGGCCTGCTTGCAAGGTTGGCCATTGGCCGGTGTCCAGAAACTCAGATTTTACGAGGGTTCCCACCATTTATTGATGACAGTGGCTCACTAAACTAAACAAAGACTATGTTTTATGCTAAGCATCTGCTTTTCTTCTGGGAGTCTGGAATTTGAGTACATGACAGGCAGAGGGAGCTACAACACTTCACATGTACTGTCACAACTCATTACCAGGGAAAATAAGTACATTGAGGAGATGACTCTGGAAGCTTGAATCTCGTTTCCTCCAGACATTGCCCTATAAGCCTTCTCCCTTTGCTGATTTTGCTTTATACCCTTTTGCCATAAAAACCATAGCCACGAGTACAACTATATGCTGAGGCCTGTTGAGGACTCCTAGTGAATCAATGAATCCAAAGGTGGTCTTTGGAACCCCTACTCAACATAAGTTGTGATGTGTTTTGACTGTTGCTTGGTATTTGCTATTTTATAATCAAATGCAAAAAATGTACTTTCCTAAATCACATTATCTTTCTCACATAATGCAAAATACACTTAGATTATTTTAAGTCAGAATTTACAGAAGAGGGCACTCTTTCTTTTTTTTTCTTTTTTCTTTTTTTTCTTTTTTATGTTTTTATTTTTGATACAGAGAGAAAGCACATGCTGGGGAGGGACAGAAAGAGAGGAAGACAGGAACCAAAGCAGGCACTGCGCTGATAGCAGATATCTTGATGTGGAGCTTGAACTCAAGAGCTGTGAGATCATGACCTGAGCAGAAGTTGGATGCTTAGCTGACTGAGCCACCCAGGTGCCCTGAGGGCACTCTTAAATCAGGAACCCTGTCCAAGAAATGAATAGGAAAGCAGACCACACCCATGTTAACTATCTCGAAATACCAGAAGATATGAATCAAAGTATTCTGTTGATGAAAATAGGTCCCTAAAAATATCAACCATAAAGCTGAAGAAAACAAATACCACATTTCATATGAAATTATATATCCTGATATAAGCATTTGGGAATATTTAAAAACATGCTAGATCATATATATGAGAACTAAGAACAGAAATGACCAAAAGCTGGATTATCTTAGGCATTATCATCATCCTATTTTTCCTCAATATTATTCATTGTTTCCCTTTTTGCCAGTTGTAACCTCAACCCTGCCACCCAAGATATGAAGAAACTATCAAGCCAAAAATTGAAATTTAGGGACACAAACTTTCAGAGGCTTACCCAATCACTTCATAGGGAATTTTAGATCTGATTAATTTTATAAATTTCCCTAACTCCAAAATTCCTTTCCCTAGGCACTCTCCCCTATAAGCCAAAAGCTTTCCTGCTTAACTCCAGCTTCTGTTTCCTTCATTGCTCTAACTCACTTTCAGTACTTAATTCCCAATCTTGCCTGCCTATCCATTTCTGACACTCCCTATTAAACAGTAACCAACTAATCCCAGTATTTTTCCATCATACTCCATTAAACACCAGTTCTATGGTAAACAAAATGACTTGTCATTACTCGGTAACTCAAATTTTCTCTCAATTTAATAAATATTTTTGTTTCTGGCACTGCATTAAGTGCTGGGGATATAATAAAGAATAAGATATAATAACCAGCCTTCTGGGAAAGGCAGACAATACCTATGACAACTACAGTGATAGAGGTATACAGAGAGATAATTGTATAATAATGTTTGAACACATTACCTTTTTGCTCAAATGTTTACCACATCTTGGAAGTACACATACCTAAGTACACCTGAAACTAATATATCACACTGTATGTTAACTATACTAGAATTAAAATAAAAAACAAACACAACAACAAAAAGCAAACACCTAAATCAGACAGCCATTTAAAGTCTACCTGTTCTAGTCTCAATTTATCTCTCTTCCATTACTCCCCTACTGATTTACAGGTATCTCTCAGTCAAACTGGATTATTCATTCTCTGCTGATTGACTCTAAATTGGTTCCCAATTATCTCCTCATTCTGCTGCTCAGGTCTTTGTGTAATTCCCTATTTTTGAGTGTGGGCAGGACCTTGCTGGTCCTGACTTGCAAAGGTAATAGGACGTCATTTTCTTGATTACAATATAAGATGCTGTAACTTCCATCTTTCTAGCAGACTCTCTCTCCCATTTTGATGAAACAAGTTGCCATGTTGGAAGACCCATGAAGCAAGGAGAGCTGACACAGCTAGAAACTGAGGCCCCTGGTCAAACAACCTAAAAGGAACTGAATCCTGACAACCATGTAAGTAAGCTTAGAAGCAGATCTGTCCTTCCCCCCATTTGAGCCTTCAGATGAGGCCCCAGCCTTTGACTGCAGCACTGTGAGAAACTCTGAACAGAGAATCCATGCCCTGGCTTGGCTGACCCACAGAAACTATGAAAACCATCTAGTTTGTGGTGATTTGTTATGTAGCAATAAATAAGAAATACACACCCCAGACACATCACATTCATTTTTAATTTGTTCATGTCAACTTTCCAGCCCCAAATTTGAATTAGCCCAAAATCCTACATATCTTTCAATGTTCTAGTCATTTACTATCTCCCAATGAGGCCTTCAATAATCCATCCTTCCAACTCACATACTCCTTACTTTGAACCCACAACTTTCTTTATTGAACTCTGTGACATGTTTTTCCTTGTTTTAGCAACATTTAAATGTAATATATTTATTTATTTAATTCCAAGAAAACAATAAACTGGACAAATTGAATAAAACACAAAATACTCCTACCTGATTGAGATTAAGATTGTTTTCAATACTCAGGGGAATCAAATGAGGCAATACTTTTCCAGCAAGCTGCTCTTTGGTGATTCCCAACTTCTTATGTGTAAAGGTACATTTATAAATACCTGATAGAAAACAATGAGACAAATTTTATAATCCAATACCACAAATTCATAGATACTAGGAAAATATTGTATCTATATGAAATCTCTTGATAATCAGTTTAATTACAAATTTTTTCTTATCAGTGCCTAGAATGAGGATGCTCTTAAATATGGGTAAGAATGATTTCAGCTTTATCATCAGTTTAAACCATGACATATTTAACCTGTACTTGCTTGGCTTAAGAGCACATTTAATATTAGTATAATATTAAAAGCCTTACTATACAGTACAACAGTAAGGTTACAGAATGATCCTCTCTCCTGAAAACACCTAAATATGTATTTGAGACTTCTCACCCAAACTCGAGACATCTATTTCACAAGTATGTGAGTATAGGTTACACCTTTATTCACTTCTTTAACCAGATTTAACATGTTTAAAACTTTAATAATTTAATTCAACTCCACACAATCCTTTCCTAGTGTCTCACCTATTTACTCAAACTTCCAGAGCCTGCGTATTACAACTATTCCACAAAGCCTTCAGTTGGTAAACTGAGCACATTTGTTTCTCATTCTCTGAATGCTTGTGTTATAAGTGTTTTGTATATAATCCATAGCTTTAGAACACACCATATGTTATTATTTTCATGTTAATGTAAATTTCACTTATATACTCAAAGAGTAACTTTACTGAGCACCTATTAAATGCTTATTTGCTAGGCACTATGCTCATTACTTCTCCCTGCCCATTTTCTCACTGAATTCTCATAAAACTCCTCTAATGATGTATTTTTACCCTCATCTGACAGATGAAATTTTTCTAAGTCATTCCAGGAACTGACACAGCCAGGACAGAAGCTAGGGCTCTTTCCACTATGCTAAACTCTTTTTCAGGAAGACTAATTTATTTGAGCCCAAAAGTCTCATACCATATACCATGTCTACAAAGGTCTACAATAAATTACTTGCTGACCATTCCTACAAATATTTACTGAGGGCTTTCTATAGACCAGGCACCTTAGTACTTTAGTAAGTGTTAAAAATACACGGCTGAGTAATTTCATTTTTCTTTAAAATTAATAAACTTTAACTTCAGTAAAAACTAAACTTGCTAATGTTTTTGTGATACTACAAGTATATCTGTTTCCATTAGTATAGCAGACCCCAGCATTTCCAGATTGGACTATCAAAACTGTAACTATTTACAAACAATTTCAGTTTCTTGACAGAGTAATTTGTAATTATGCTAATAGAACAGAATGTGCTGTAAAGCTAATATGCTTCATCAACACATCACTTAGCAGTGAAACATACTGGTTAAGATTTAAACATATATAAATTAAAAACCAGCTCTACCACTTTTCAGTTGTGTTATCTTGAATAACTTACTTCAACCCTGAGCCTCAATTTCCGTACTGTAAAACAGAAATAACAGTAGCTATCTCATTGGAATTTGGAGAGGACAAGCGATAACACAAAGAAAATACTCAACACAGTGCCTCTTACAAATTGGGTACCAAATAACTATCAAATTTTACTATTAAGACTGGTATCAGCATGTCATGTAGCTTTGTTTGCCTCTCTTATTTGGCATCATTTTATAGGGAAAACTACATGCTATCATGGTATTTGTGAAGCTAGGATTCCCAAATGTCTAATTTGCTAAAATTAACACAAAGAAAAGTTATATCATGGTATTTATCCCATCATTCTTCAATTACTGAATGCTATATACTTGAAAAAAGGATACAAAGGTTTTATAATTTGGAAAATTCATTTGCGTGACTATAAAACAATAAAGTAGCATCAAATAACATTAAGTTTTCAGCTACCTAAAATTCCCATGAGGACTGCGGGTTCCTTGGATGGAATCTGTTGTAAGAAGGGCAGGATATCATCAAGAACAAACCACTTATCCAAGTATTCCAAAATCTTTCCTAAGCACACTAATGAATTTACACGAACCTATTAAGAGAGGTAAATTGCATTAGTCACTTAAAGTCTTGCAATCTAGAACAAAATGTTTAAGTATAAATTTAATCTTCATGTAGATATGTTAAAATCTCAAGAATAAAAGTAGGATGAGGTTTAAAAGCTCTCATCCTTTATTAACATAGGAAATCCATGTATTTACTAACTCCCCTAGACTTGTTTCAGGAAGAATTTATGATTGCTTTACCAGGACACTAGTTAGGTAGAGGTAAGGAAAGACTTCAATTTTGTATCCTTTTAAATGAAGTGATTAGGATTTGAGAAGCTTTACTATATATGTGTTTATTAACAATATTTTTGGGGGGACATCTGAATTATAAAAAGGACTACATTCTCCTACCAAGTGATCAAGTTTACTAGCCTTCCAGTACTTTTCTCTAACTCAGGTTTAATTCATTCTTAAATATTTCAACAACATGTGAAAATTATCTATACTTTACCGTACCTGAAGTTTTCTATTTCTAAATATATCTTTAATACAGACATTAAAACCTAATACTTAGGAACTCTTTCACCAAAATTCTATCTATATTTGCTTGACTATTTTGATAAATGTTTCACACCCTATTTTTTTGGCTTGAATTTATTAAGATAATTACTTCAAGGAGAAAAAAAGAGACAAACCAAAAAAAAAACAAAAACAAAAACAAAAACTGGTGGTTGCCAGAAGAGAGATGGGTAGAGAATTGAGTGAAATAAAGGGGATTAAGAATATACTTATTTGATGTAATGTACAGAATTGTTGAATCATTATATTGTACACCTGAAACTAATATAACACTGGATATTAATTACATTTCAATTTTTTAAAAAAGAATAAAATCAATAAAATTCCAGTTAAAAAAAAACTAAGAAAAACAAAATAATTTAGTTGGTTAAAAAAACACCATATTTCTACAAGAAAGAAAAAAATCTGAAAAATAACATACAATTGTTTTCTGAAATTCAAAAATAAGGAATATTACAAATTCAAAAAAAGATAGCTAAAGTCTTAATTTGCTCTTAGAATCAGTATTTTAAAAGGAATTGCCGTGTGTGTGTGTGTGTGTGTGTGTGTGTGTGTGTGAAGAGAACCTAGACGTACTAGTTTACTTTTATTTTTATTTTTAATATAAAATATTAGTCATGTAAGTCATGAAGAAATAGAGCTCTTATTTTACCTACCTCTGTGTAGAATTTATTTTTTCTTTATTTAAACAGTATTAAACCACAATTCTAACTCATGACTCACATTTTAGGAACTTCCCAGTTAGAATCTTTTAACCTTATGTCCATGAATGCAATTCAGGAATTCACATTTGCCCCTCTGAAGGCAGGAGCACCATACATGGTATATAAAATGCAAATCCATTCCAGAGTTACTGCTCTAAATGCATTCATTATAATTCTTTGTAAACATGCCTTTGAGGGCTCAGTTGCCATCTTAAAATGAGATATAAACATCCCCAGGCATTAATACAGATCATTTAAGTACCTATGCTTCCCACCTCATACATACTTGGAAATGAACTAGAACATGCACTTTGACAAAATGTATGCTAAAATAAATGTATGCTACCATAAAATAAAAGTGTGACTTAAATGATTTTTCTTTTTCCTTTTTTAAGCTTTTTTTATTTTGCTTTAATCTGTATACTCAATATGGGGCTCGAATTTACAACTCCAAGATCAAGAGTCCCATCCATACTCTACCAACTGAGCCAGCGAGGTACTCCCAGATTTTTAAAAGGCATTTTGAAAATGAAATTTTAGGGGCACCTGGGTGGCTCAGTCAGTTAAGCGTCTGACTTCGGCCCAGGTCATGATGTAGCAGTCAGTGAGTTCGGGTCCTGCATTGGGCTCTGTGCTGACAGCTCAGAGCCTGGAGCCTGCTTCAGATTCTGTGTCTCCTTCTCTCTGCTCCTCTCCTACTCATGCTCTGTCTCTATCTCTCAAAGATGAATAAATGTTAAAATAAATAAATAAATAAATCAAAAGGAAAAAAGAGAAAAAAAGAAAATGGAATTTTAAGCTGTATATTACTTCATCTATTTTGAAAATTCAATCAAAAAAATTAGAAAATTTCAGAGAAAAGAACTGGATTTCAAGTCTTTTTAATACTGATGAAGAAAAACACTCAGGGGGGTATAGTAACTTGCCCAGTGGCACAGGAAGGTTAGTAGAAGAGTCAGAATAAGAAAGAACTCAGGTTTCTTGACCTCATTTCATACTTGTTCATTTTGGTAAACAATGATACTTTTTCCTAGTTTTGTATTGTTTTCTATCTCAGAGCCATTAGAACCAAAAAAAACATAAACTAAAATGGATTAGGTAAATCATGTCATTTTAATAAGGTAAAATCATGTCATTTAAATTGCTTTTGCCTATCATTCCATTAAGCTACAAATGCTTATATTTATTTAAATTCACATTTCACCTAATAAAGATGAATGAGATCTCCAAAGAACTATATTTACAAAATGCAAATTTAATGACCATTATCAAACAACAATATAAAGAACTGATCAGATGAATGAAGAACATTTCTCCCTCTTTTCTAAAGCTGCCATTTGAAGAGAATATTCAATGTTACTTCTTAAAAGAATTATTTGTGGGATAAATTCTTATGATCTACTGTTAGAGAAAAGGTTGAGAATACATATGCCTCTCAATATGAGATAATGAGAACTATTATTTATTCTACTTCCTTGACCAACAACTATAAGTGTTAAAAATTCTGTATTCAAAGGAATCAACTGCCTTTGGCATAGATTTTTTGAGTACAACTATTTCCCGCCACTTGTATTCTTGTTAATGTATTGTTTTATTGTACCCTTATTTTTTTTTAAAGTAGGTAAGTGGTGGATATAAAAATATAGAGATAGATTACTAAAAATAAAGGCAGTTTACAAAAGGAAGCTATTCAGAATGATTATAGGCTTATACACCAAATTAAACTCTCATGATTATTTCAAAACTACCAACAAAATACATTGTGAATTAAAGCAGAAAAGTATTAAGAAAGAAAAATTACTCAGATTTTCTAGTGAAGCACTCAAAGTTAGGGGACAGGAGCAAGGTCAGGGGTGTAATAGTGCAAAATTATGTATCAGGGAAAACTAAAGCTATTGCTCACTTTTTTTTTTTTATTGCTCACTTCTATAGTACTATATTATATAGGTTACCTATAGCCAAGATGAAATATATGAACAAATTACAAAAGGGTTATTTAGGGGCACCTGGGTGGCTCAGGCAGTTGAGCATCCGACTCTTGGTTTCAGCTCCGGTCATGATCTCATGGTTCTTGAGTTTGAGCCCCACATCAGGCTTCATGCTGACGGTGCAGAGCCTGCTTGAAATTCTTCTTCTCTCCCTCTCTCTCTGCCCTTACCCCCATGCGAATGCGCATGCTCTCTCTCTCAAAATAAATAAGATAAACTTAAAAAAAGATAAATGAAGTTTGTTGAAGTTAATACACTGACAGTGCAGAGGCTGCTTGGGATTCTCTCTCTCTTTGCCCCTCCCCTGCTCACTATATCTCCCTTTCTCAAAATAAATAAATAAACATTTTTTAAAGGGTTATTTAATAATAAGAAAATGATTTAAAACAATGAGAAGTGAAAGAAAAGCAAAAATTAATATGCAATTACTTACAGCAAGGGAAGATGTCTGTAGACATGCATTTTTAATTCTTGGTATCAAAGCATTTTTCATGGATGGGTAGTCTATAAGATTTGCAAAGGTTGGAATGATGTTTAAACAGAGTTCCTATTAAGAAAATACACTGATTCAATCTTAGAGAAAGACTCTCTTCATCCTTTCTCCCACATATTAAAAACATTTTGCATTTACATAGCTAATTTGTCACACAGTTTGAAATAAACTTTTATTTATGTTTTATCATTTGCTCCTTTCAACAACTAGTTGAAAGAAGAGTTGTCACTAATTTTCAATTTTACAGATGAGAAAATAGACTCAAAAGATCTTATTCAAGGGGCGCGTGGGTGGTTCAGTCGGTTCAGAGTCCAACTCTTGGTTTCAGCTCAGGTCATGATCTCATGGTTTGTGAGTTTGAGCCCTGCGTCGGGCTCTGCTGCTGACAGCGCAGAGCCTGCTTTGGATTCTCTCTCTCCCTCTGTCTGCCCCTCCCCTGCTTATGCTCTCTCTCTCCCTCTCTCAAAATAAATAAAACTTTTTTAAAAAATTTAAAAAGGACCTTACTCAAAATCATGCAAAGTCATATAACTAGCTTATGGTAACAACAGTCCTTGGTCTTCATTCCTAATTTCTTTCCATGATAACACAATTCATCAATTCATCATTTATTATTTAAAAATGGGAACACCCCGGGGCGCCTGGGTGGCGCAGTCGGTTAAGCGTCCGACTTCAGCCAGGTCACGATCTCACGGTCAGTGAGTTCGAGCCCCGCATCAGGCTCTGGGCTGATGGCTCAGAGCCTGGAGCCTGTTTCCAATTCTGTGTCTCCCTCTCTCTCTGCCCCTCGCCCGTTCATGCTGTCTCTCTCTGTCCCAAAAATAAATAAATGTTGAAATCTTTAAAAAAAAAAAAATGGGAACACCTAAGTTTTGCTATCTTTCACAATAAGGATTAAATACAAAGTAACATAGAACTATTCCTCTTAAATAAGGGATTTCTTAGCTTATCATAAAATAGAATACAAACATTTTCTTTAACATATTTTAAAAGATTGTTTTATAATATTGGGGAGAAATACAATAAGACACTATTATGTAACCCCAGTTTTTATAAATTTTTTTTTTTTTAACGTTTATTTATTTTTGAGACAGAGAGAGACACAGCATGAACGGGGGAAGAGCAGAGAGAGAGGGAGACACAGAATCAGAAGCAGGCTCCAGGCTCTGAGCCATCAGCCCAGAGCCCGACGCAGGGCTCGAACTCACGGACCGCGAGATCGTGACCTGAGCTGAAGTCGGACGCTCAACCGACTGAGCCACCCAGGCGCCCCAGTAACCCCAGTTTTTAAAACATGTATGCATATGTGTCTGTCTACAGGCTTAGGGAAAAAGACTCAAGGATAGATACGGAAATGTTAACTATGGGCATCTCTGAGAGAGGATTTTAATTTTCTTTATGTTTAAGCACTTCCAAATTCTAAAACTTAAGCAAGTATAACTCATAGAAACAGGAAAAAGTTATTTAAAACATTGTTAACTAATATTGGCCACAATGTAAATGACTATAACTGGGAACTCTGAATGAGGCTAACAGAGGAAAAGGGGGACTAAATGAGATAAGGAAAAGAACAAGAAATGGCTTGAGAACTAACTGGCTCAAGAACATATATCTCAGATACCTTATAAGAGCAGAATGTTCCTTGTAGCAAAGCAAAGAAGAAGGGATTACTAAAGAAAATGGAGGCATAATTGTGTATCAGGGAAGGAGTTAGACAATATTTGGTATACTTAAAGACATTCATTTGTAGTTAGCAGACAGAAATAAATTAACTACTAACAATCTGTTATCAAAATAATGGCCAAGTATTTTATTTGCTTTACTCCCAATTTCCAAAAAGCAGCTATTAAGAGTTGCATGTTTACATCCACTCAGAATTGTAATTAATAAGTGTGACATAACTTGAGGATAAGAAGTACAAGCTACGTTCAAGGATGCCCATTTTCCAAAGATGGGCAAGAATAGGCAAGAGTGAGCAGTTTATGAGATACTGTACTCCTGTTACCAGAGGGGACCTCTGTAGGGAAGGTCAGCCTTTAATTCATGAGAGCAAGCATACATGTGCACTATGCTGTATAACCTAGCAATAGGTTATAAAGAGGCAAATCTTAAATTATGTCTAAATCATTTAGCTAAAAGTGGGGGGGAAGAGCTCTTTTCCAAGAAGGAAATACGATGAAGAACCTAGAAACAGGAGACTGAAACAAACCAAAACTCAAGGAAGTCATTAGTTCATTCTCAGGAATTTCTGCCTCTTAGTTTATACTTTATAACTGGTGGTGGGGAGAGGAGAAAAAGCATAACTTCTAAGTTTAATTTTAAAGGTAAAAATTTTTTATTTGGTTCACATATACATTTCTATTCAAGCCTCTAAGCACCCTAATTTTTGTACATCATTTTCTACTTTCCTAAATGTATTTCTGAACCCCCTTTAGCCTCCTAAATATTTCTAATCAAACTTCACTTTAAAAATATCACTCCAGAGGCACCTGGGAGGCTCAGTTGGTTGAGCATCTGACTCTTGATCTCAGCTCAGGTCATGGTCCCACGGTTGTGGAATGGAACCCCAAGTCGGGCTCCACACTGAGTCGAGATTTTCTCCCTGTGTTTATGATTCTCTCTCTCTCTCTCTCTCTCCCTCTGCCCTTCTCCCCACTTTGTGCTCTCTCTAAAAAAAAAAAAAAAAATTAAAATTAAATAAAAAATCACTCCAAAAATGAATTTCCAAAGTTACTTTCCAGCCTTCTACTTGCTTGAAACTTGAAGACTTTTGTTTCTTGGGGTGCCTGGATGGCTCAGACAGTTAAGTGTCCAATTCTTGGTCTCGGCTCAGGTCATGATCTCATGGTTTAAGAGTTTGAGCCCCACACTGGACTCTGTGCTGATAGTGTGGAGGCTTCTTGGGATCCTGTCTCCCTCGCTTTCTGCCCCTCCCCCATTCGTTTTCTATCTCTCTCTCAAAATAAACAAACATTTAAATAAAGACTTTTGTTTCTTGCTCTTATTCTAGTATTCTCCCAAAGATCAGATAGTCTTTTAACTTTAACACTCTTACCAAGCAATGATGATACTAATTAATTGGACTGGTGACTAAAGACATACTGAATGATACAAGAAATGTGGGTTTCTAAAATTCAGCAAAGCTGCACAGGTCAATCTGATTTAAATATTAACTATTTCAATAAATACTTATTGGCTGATGTGTATTGGCCAAATGAACCCCCTTATGAAGAAAAATTAGCTTTCACATCACTCAACATTTCTCTCCTTCCTAATCTCAGTGAACATAAAACCAGGTTGGCTACACAGGGCCTGTGGGAATGTTTTAAGAAGCTATAATTCATAACTCCTTTGGAAAGGCCTAAAAAGTAAAAGTAAGTACTTCTTTGTCCCATGTCATTTGGACAAAACCAGCATATCCTCACCTTTAAGAAGGCATGATGTTATATGGAAAAAATGTAACATGAACCTCACGATTTTGAATAAGCAAAAACCTAGAAAAAGACTAAAATGAGTCAAAAAAGTGACCTTATACACGTGGTATTAGGTTCACATTATTTCTAAGTAATCTCCATACCCAACATGGAGTTTGAACTCACACCCCAAAATCAAGAGTCGCATTTGCTACTGACTGAGCCAGCCAGGTGCCCCTGGTATTAGGTTCACATTAGAAAAAAAAGGCTTTGGTCAATAACCTTTAAAAATTAAAATTCTGTTTTTCTTTACTAGAATTTCTATACTGGCAAAGAAACTTTAAATATAAAACCATTTATGCAATGAGATGTTGTTAACATAGGTACTTATTTTCCAAAGTAAAAAAAAAAAAAAAAAAAAAAAAAAAAAAAAAAAGGAAAAAATTATACTTTTAATAGCAATCCAAAATTTTTTTGCCAGACAGCCCTATAGAACCAAAATTTTAATAGCAAAGCTAAAGAACTAAGTTTGGCAAAGTACATGATGTTTTAACATAACCTCTATGACACACAGAAATAGCTATAAATGCATTAGGAATGGTCACATTAAATTACTGTCTGGTTTGCTATCTACTTGCTACACAAATTAACTTCAGTATAGAAGGAACACTTAGAAAAGTAAGTTATCAAGCATGAAAAAAAATTAGGAATATGGGAATACCTACTTAATGTTTTCATTAAAAAAGTCACATGTATCTTTGACATTTCATTCCTATGTTAGTTATTCATTTAGGAAGAAGATACACAATGATTCAACTATAAGAAATCAAATCTTTCAGAATAGAACATTTTCGATAAATAAAAGCAATGAATCTTTTACTTTGTTAATACAGATATTTGTCAATACATTCTTTAAATTAATTGGGAGCAGATACATTTTAGTAACAGTATATAATGCAATTCAATGGATTAATAATATAGATCACTATTGAGCTTTACATAAAAGATTTTATAATTCAAACCCAAAATGTACTTCTTTCTTTTTTTTTTTAAATCAAAATCATTATTTAAAAAAATCAAATATTATACCTGGATCTGAATGGAAGGAGCCTCTAGTGCTCTATAAACCATAGGTAAGACACTGTTCTTTATCTCATCAGGAGGAGTTTTGGTTAGTAGCAAATCCATTTTTTGTAGGAAAATTAACAAAATCTGTGTAGAAAAAAGGAACAATGTATTAAAGCCTAGAATCTTTATAAGATTTCACATATGACAAAATTTAAAGTCTCTTCAAAAAAGTAAGTTCTGTATTTTGACACTCACCATGTTGCTAGCCTGAGGGCATGGAAGACAAAAACATACAAATCAAATTTCTTAGATTTCTGGAAGCACAATATTTAACATTTGCTCTCAGTTTAAACATTTAAGTGAAGACTAATTTCCTAACTCTCACATATCTTCGGCAATACATTACTCACCTGTAAGTACCACTATCTGGGTATCCAATGGGTTTAAAAAAAAAAAAAAAAGAAAGCCTGAGAACAGCAAAGTCAGATATCCCAAAGAAGTAGTTCACTTGGCTTCTAAGTTTAAGAACAGAAGAAAAGGTACAGAAATGAAAAGGTATGTCAGGAAAAATTCTAAAAAGAGACATTTTCAATAGTCTCCAATCATGTTTTCTCACCTAGTTGCCACACATACCTAGATTATAAGGAAAAAATGGCCCCTTCTATTCATGCAGACTACATGAGTGTTTCATGAGTGAACATGTGGCTCCGCCACTTTCACTCCTAACATCTTGACCATATTTGGGGAACTCTGCTTCAAAGCCTACAGTTCCCTCATCTGCCCTTTCTTAGCCATAGGAACTCTTGCTTTACCACCACAGACTTCCTTCTGTTCCCCTCCTTTTAAAGGAAGGACCGCAAATAGCCTCTCATAAAACCATTAAATCACACAGCTGATGGTTTATTAATATGCTACTGCCATGGAATGGCAGAAATATGTAGTAATATTTACTATGTGTCTAGAAATTTCATTTAATCTCAACAACCCCTTTTGTTTCAGAAATGAGCAAAACTAAGGTTTTAAGAGTCTAATGACTTGCCCATGTCATCCTTCTAATAAGGATGAAGAAGACCAGATTCACACCCAGGTGTGTGACCCTACTGCTCTTAAATCCAAGACTACCTTGGGGCACCTGGGTGACTCAGTTGGTGAAGCATCTGACTTCGGCTCAGGTCATGATTTCACAGTTCGTGAGTTCGAGCCCTGCATCGGGATCTGTGCTGACAGCTCAGAGCCTAGAGCTGCTTCGGATTCTGTGTCTCCCTCACTCTCTGCCCCTCCCCAGCTCATGATGTCTCTCTCTCACAAACAATTTTTAATTTTTTTTAAAATCTATTCATTTTTGAGAGACAAAGAGAGACATAGCATGAGTGGGGGAGGGGTAGAGAGAGAGGGAGATGCAGAATCTGAAACAGGCTCCAAGCTCTGAACTGTCAGTACAAAGCCCAACACGGGGCTTGAACTCACAGACTGTGAGATCATGACCTGAGCTGAAGTTGGACGCTTACCCACTGAGCCACCCAGGCGCCCCTAAAAAAATTTTTTTAAAAATCCAAGACTACCTTGAATCTGACAAATATTATAATAGAGTCTAACATCAGAAATTAATTACATTTTAACTTATAATACACACACACACATTATTTCCATGGTGCTGTAAGCATTTTCCTCCTCCTGGTAAAACTATTTATCAGCAATAAAATAAAGAGAAACAACTGGCATAAACTATCTACAAGCTAAAGACCCTAAATAACAAAAAGAAAAACAAAAACAAATATTTAAAAGTACAGAAGAAAAAGAAATACTTCTTTTCACAAACCAATAACTTTCAATAAGTCCAATAAGAACAGTATGCCAGATCTCAACGTTTTTTATTTATTTTTGGGACAGAGAGAGACAGAGCATGAACGGGGGAGGGGCAGAGAGAGAGGGAGACACAGAATTGGAAGCAGGCTCCAGGCTCTGAGCCATCAGCCCAGAGCCCGATGCGGGGCTCGAACTCACGGACCGTGAGATCGTGACCTGGCTGAAGTCGGACGCTTAACCGACTGCGCCACCCAGGCGCCCCGTGCCAGATCTCAATATAATTTATTTTCTGAGGTGGTAACTTACGGAGAGCTATCAACATTTACTTGCAAAGTTTAATTATAATTTTAGGAATGGTTCACTTCAAACATATGCAAAATAGGTTCTAATGGAAAAAAGTCTCTTATACTTACCTCAATTTTTAAAAAGTCACACATCCATTTCTTTTGTTTTCAGTGATAGTCATCATTGACTAATATCATTAAGTAACAGAAAACAAATAGGAAAGAGTATTTACATACATACCTGGATTGGCTCCTGCTGTTTAAAAACAGGGCCAAGTTCAGGTAGAATTAATTTGACATATTCTTCTTTGGTGCATTCTTCAGCAATCAGTAGAACATTGGGCAAAACAAAAGGTACCATATCAGGGTTTACAAATTCTGAAGTCAAACAAGGCAAAATTCTCTGCACAATGACACGCTGAAAGGCAAAAATGTTTTCATAAAACTAAATTTGACTTCAGGTCTTTAGTGTTAATATTGAAGTTACAGTCTAAAATGTCCAATCCCTTTGGGGAAGATGACCATATAATTTCCCTCAGGAAACCTTCCTTCATTAAGTCTTTACTAATTTGTTTCTCCTCTTCATTACTTACGATTCATACCACACAATTTAAAAACTGTCCTGTATTATTAATTGTTGTTTCATGCATATTGACTCTATCTACACTTACTGAAAGAGCCTTGAGAGCAAGAACAATATTTATGTTTCCTCTTTATTCTCCATAGCATCTAAGTAAAGGGCTAACTAAACAAACAGTGAATAATCAAAGAGTATCGGCAGATTAAACACTGGAGATATTTTTGCAGGAATCACCAGTTTTCCAACCATTGACTTCTATGGCATTCACCAACATATTTTAGACTATATTACACTCATGATTTAATAAGCCAGAGAAGGAGAGTTACAGGAACTAGAGAGGGTAGTATCAATACAGAAGTATCGCTTAATTGCTGGTGAAGCAATGATCTCCACAATGACAGCTTATGGACCTGTCTTCTGACATTTAATGTGCAAGCACTACCTTTGCATAGGTAGTATTCTTCTAATTTTTTTACCTAATTTTTTAGATGATTTTTGGACCCCACGAAAAAGGTCCACTAAACTTTTAGCTTCAGTCTGCAGCCTTCTATAGTCATTTATGTACCTAAGGCAAAAGTTCTATTTATTTCTCTGGAAGAGTTATTATAGTCAATGAAAATCCTGTCTATAAGAAAAAACTGATCAACAACAAACCTTGGGCAGTTTTGGTAGAACTTTTGGCAGTCCTTTGAAAAACTGTGATTTCTGAAGATTATCTCTTTGGAATAAGGTATCAAAATACTGCAGTGTTACTGCACCAACATCATCAAAGAAGGGAATCTAAAAATAGGGAAATAAAATTATTTTGGTAAATATTAAAGTACTTCTCATACCTGAAACTGCCATAATATAGTAAAAAAAAATTTAGAAACATTTAGCAAAATACTAAAAAGCACTTAATAGTTCTAATTATAAAAATCAAAATAAGGAATAACCAAATTTCTTTTCAGGTTCAAATTTTTCAGTCGGTACCTGTGAGTTCCCTAGGCAGTAATATTTTCTTTACCTAACTAATAAATGCTGAAAGATTTAATATCTTGAAGGCGTAAAGAGCACTATTAAAATCCATGCTTACATGAGTAAATTAGAAGGCTGTGAATTTTTGGGGTGTCCAGAATTTCTACACCTGTATAACTATTAGGATTCTAATTATCTGAAATCTTATTTTATATCACAGCAATTATACACATAAATTATTTAACTGTTTAAAGATTAAAAGAAGTTGCATATTTAACACATTTGAGAATACAGATGTTATCTGGGGCCTCTGGCTAAATCTTGCTTTAGAAGCACTTAATCTACTTTTAACTCCTTGTCTCTCTTCCACCTAAGGCAGGAATTCATGTGTACTCACCTTGGTCATTTGATCTGCATCTGGTCTTACAGTCGGAGTTACATTTAACAGTAGTTTTACATGTTCACGGACTTCCTCGGGTATATTTGAAAGTGAACTAGATCCTAAACGACTCAACTATTCAAAAGAGTAATACTATTAAATATGAATATAAAATATTCAAAAAGATAATGCATTTACAGTCAACAATCTATTTAAAAAACCTTTTTTTCCTCAAAAAAACTAAAAACAGAACTACCCTACAATCCAGCAATTGCACTACTAGGCATTTATCCAAGGGATACAGGGGTGTTGTTTCAAAGGGACACATGCACCCCCATGTTTGTAGCAGCACTATCAACAATAGCCAAGGTATGGAAAGAGCCCAAATGTCCATCAATGGATGAATGGATAAAGAAGATGTGGTACATATATACAATGGAGTATTACTCGGCAATCAAAAAGAATGAAATCTTGCCATTTGCAACTACGTGGATGGAACTGGCGGGTATTATGCTAAGTGAAATTAGTCAGAGAAAGACAAAAATCATATGACTTCACTCGTATGAGGACTTTAAGAAACAAAACAGATGAACATAAGGGGAGGGAAACAAAAAGAATATAAAAACAGGGAGGGGGACAAAACAGAAGAGACTCATAAACTGAGGGTTTATGGAGGGGTTGTGGGAGGGGGAATGGGCTAAATGGGTAAGGGGCAGTAAGGAATCTACTCTTGAAATCACTGTTGCACTATATGCTAACTAATTTGGATATAAGTTTTAAAAAAAAATTAAAATTAAAGCAAAAACAAAAAACAAAAAAAACCTTTCTTAAGTTTATTCAAAAATATATTTTACACTGAACAAACTGCTAATTCTACTGTGGCAAGATAATTAAAACACTTATCTTCAATACCTGAAATTGTTTCTATGACAAAAACAAAATGCCCATCATTTTAGATCATATTTCAGTATTCACTCTAGTAAATAAATGCCACAGTTAAAGTTGTGGTAACAAACTTTGATCCTCATTATTTATAGAATTACTTTTGTTAAGTTGATTTTATACAAACTTAAAATATGAGACACTCGTCTCACTTTACAGAATTTTCTGGGGACATTTTAAAAAAATCAAAGAAAAATGTAATACATTTTTAATGCAAGCAAATATTTATATATAAGGCAAATTACCTGATCCAACTGCCTACTAAAACTCTTGTAAATATCTTGCTTGTTAACTTCAAATATGGGTTTCCCTTTGTTAAATACAGCATACATGACTGTTCCTAGAGAGTACATATCACTGGCTGTTTCACAGCTCACAGAAAGTATGTATTCAGGAGCCAAATATTCAGGATTTGGAAGACACAATGATGGTAGATTTGGGTCCCATTCTTTACAAGGAAATTTAGGCTATAAGAACACAGAAAAGGGATTACAAAGATTAAATATTTCAAATTAAGGCAAACCACTATCAAACAGTAGCAACCTAATTTTAAATTCATACTCAGTCATGCAAGTAAAAACACTACCACCTTTAATCCTAAAATTCCCAAATTCTCAAATCTGGAAAGGACACTAGACAAACTGAGAGATATGAATAAGAACTCTTGCAACTTTCAGATGATTGGACCTCTCTTCCAGAAGACAAATTATCACTATAAGATGCAATATGAATATGAAAAGGTAGAACCTATATTCTATGATACATAAGCTTCAAGTTTTCTGGACTCAGATTATCATTTGAAGCCTTGTTCTTTCACTAACTAGCTGCATGATTTAGTTAACAAGTTCAAAAGGTTGTTGTAAGATTAAACAAATGCATGGGAAAAAATGAACCTAACAAAGTGTCTGACCCAAAGTGTATGTTCAACCAATACTGATTCTTTCTGCTTCCTTTAAAAGAGTTTACTTCAATTACAAATCTATCTTAGGTCAAATCAGGATCCCTTTAACAACTACATATATTAAAAACTTGAAATATTACAGTATTTCCTAAGTATAAATAGGCAGATACGATAATCACTAAGTAACAGGTGCTTTGGAACCAGAGAGACTGGGTTCAAATCCTAGCTCTACCACTTAACCACCTGCCTAAACTTAGGCAGATTATTTTATTCTATGAGCCTAACTTAGTCATCTATATTATTCCTGTATCTCACCGACTGTGGTTAAGAAAATACATAAAAAGTGTTTATTAAAGTGCTTCAATAAATGTTAGCTATTATTATCACTGCTACTGTTGTTATCATGCTGCCTGTAGAAGATTCTATAGTCCAATAAATTAGGAAAACACTACTAGAGATTCACAATGTTTGTTAGTGTATTTGACATCCTAAGGAAAAAAAAGCCTACTTAACCCAACAGTTCTCAGATTTGTTTAACTCTAGCATCCTTTACTCAAGTAACATTACTATGGAATTACCAAGCTGAAGAATACTCTTAGGTAAAATGAACACTAGAAATTTCTATAAAGTTAAACATTTAAACATACATTGTACCACATAGCCTATTTCTACACATTTATCAGGCATGCAAATTCTCTAGTCCATTCCAGATGCATCACAAATTTCCATAGCTTTAAAAAAAATTAGAAGACTGGGGCACCTGGCTGGCTCAGTCTGTGGAGCACGTGACTCTTGATCTCAGGGTTGTGAGTTCGAGCCCCATGTTGGGTGTAGAGATTGCTTACAATAAAATCTTTTTAAAAAATTAGAAGATTTAAAACCTTCATTACCTCTTGTTCAGAAGGATTGGATGATGATACACAAAAATCAAACCCCATTATTTTCCAGGCTCCACTTTTATTCAAAATTATATTTTCAGGTGTGATATTTCCATGAACCATTTTCACACTGCTGTGCAAAAATGACAATCCTTCAGAAACCTGTAAACAGGGGGAAAAAGACTTTTACATTAAATAAAATTCCTTTCAAGTACAATAATAAAATGTCTCTTAAAAATCATAATTGCTGCTTCTCCCAAAAGAAGATTTTTTTTACATGCAGGTAACCATTAATTTAATCATAAATGCAAAAGAGAAGATATTCTCAGTTGCCACAACGATCAAAGCATTAGTGGGAAAACCCATTTATAAAACCAGAATACACTCTTCATTAAAGTTCCATAGAAGCAAAAGCAAAGAATTTAAAAGCACTTTGCTATCCAAATTTATCAAGTTCCTATGTTTGAAAAATGAAGGAATCTTTGGTTTCCAAGATACAGATAGTATCAAGAGACACCTTTGTCAATTTTATTCTAATTCTTAGTATTTTTACATACTCACACTTCATATTGAAGTTCGGTTTTTCTGAAAAGTATTGTGCTTAGTTTTCAAATACTAATTGATGCTCACTCATTCTCAGGCTGGATTAGTATCAGGCAATTTTTATATCTGTACCTGAGACTACTATGGAATCTGTTAACCAAAAATGAAGACTGGATTTCTGTTTCCAGGAGTAGATTTTGGCAAACTAAGGCTCCCTGACTTCCAAGACACCATTCCCCCAGGTTTTTCCCCAACTCCACGGGCCACTGCTTTTCAGTCTGTTTACACTGCTGGTTCCTCCTCAGTACCCCAACCTCCTGGACTCAATGTTTGGACATCTGAAGTTTCCATGTACTCTTTCTCAGTTTTCTCATACCTTTCAATACCATCTATATGTTTACTGTTCCCAAATTCTCTCCAGCCTGGCTCTCTTTTCTAAAGTCCAGACTTGATTATCTGACTGCCTTCTCGATTTCTTTCCCTGGAATGTTTTACAAGCATTTCAATCTTAGAAGAATCTGAAACTGAGCTTCCCCTACAATTCGGTTCTCTCCTCTTGTAGTCTTTTCCCTGTATCAGTTAATGGCCACTTCATTTTTCCATTTTCAAAAACTTTTGAGTTATCCTGCACTACTCTATTTTTCTTATACGAAAAAGCCATCTGCAAAGCCCAATACCTTTACTACTAAAATACATTTAGAATCTGATCCTGCCTTCCCTACTCTAGACCATCATCATCTCTGGCCTGTATTACTATAACAGTCACCTACTTCACCTCTTTGTTTTTGTTCTTACTCTTCTACATAGTTTAATTCTCAATAAGTAGCTACCATGCCAAGTCACTTTCCTACTCAAAGACTTCCAAAGACCTTTCCTTTCTCTCAGAGTAAAATTCAAAGTATTTCTCTGGCTCTCAGGGATAATAGGACTTAACCGCTCATTAACTCCATGACCTTGTCTCCTACTACTCATCTTCTTATTTACTCCTCTCCACCACTCCAGGTATTTCGCTACCTCTTGAACATGTCATGCATGATTCTGTCTCAGGGACTTTGCACTTGCTGTTCTTTCTGCCCAGACCATTCTTTCCCTACATATCTATATGGTTCGCTTCTTTGCTTTTTTCAGGTCTTTACTCAAATGTCACCTCTTCAGTTATAGATTTCCTGACTACCTCCATCCAAAAGTGCAATCTTTCCCTCCACATCCAAACCATCCTCTTCCCTCTTCACCTTTTTTCTCCATGTGCACTTATCATAATCTAATATATTTACTTATTTTATTGTCTCTCTTCCCCATGAGAATGTAAGTTCTGAAAAGCAAGAATCTGTGTCTGTTTTTTTCACTGCCATACTTTCAGCATCCAGAACTGTGCCACACATACAGCTATCCAATAAATATTGCTTAATGATTTAATACAAAAACAAATTCTCTAAAAAAAATCCCTTACAGTTTCAACATGAAGACAAGTCAACAGTAAAGAATGTAAAGAGTACTATTTTAGAAGATATCTGAATTCCTGTCCCCACTTCATTACTTACTAGTCTTGCAACTTTGAGCAAGTCACTGAACCTATGTAGGTCCCAGATGGTAAATTACTTCAAATAATGGCATATTAACCTCTTAATAAGTGTGGGAAATCATAAGATTCCATACCATTCTCAATTCCCATCCCCGTAGTCAGTCAACTGGGCCTATTCTAATTCTGCATAACATCACTCTATACCTCTAGTACTTCCTATGATTTTTGACCAAGACTTTTTAACTATCATTAACTATTTTCACCGGCAAGCACTATGCTAAGTACTTACAAATTTACACATTTGACTCTGAAAATAACCCCATAGGGTAAGAATTATTTCCCATACATTTTCCCTACCCCCCAAGTTCTACTCTTCTAGCATGATAGTTCTAAAATGATTATCAGACCAGGTCATTTACTCTGCTTAAAATCCTTCAGTGTTCCCCATCATCAAAAAGGTCTTTTTCTATCTTTTCAGTTTCATTTTTCATCACTCCCTGAGACACGATGTGCTACCTCTAACTGCCTGATATTTACCCTGAGTAACTAGTATAATAAGCAATTAGGGGCTTAATATTTCTCAGATGAATGTTCTCTAGTTCTAACACATTCGAACCCACGAAATTCATATAAGATTTGCATTTTAAAAAATGCTTATTCCTCAAATTTAATTTATAAAATATACAAAGTTTATCAGTCTAGAAAAGTTTTCCTAACTTTACAAGGAAAAAGAAACCCCTATGCATGCTTATTGTATATTTCAGGCATTAATTTGATAATATTTTTATATAATTACCTCAGTTAATCTTTGGAACCATTTTATGGTTGGGGAAAAAAAAGTTCATATGCTTATTACAAAGCTACAGTAATCAAAACAGTGTGCATTGGCGTAAAGACAGAAATATAGACCAATGGAACAGAATGGCATATATAGTCAAATGATTTTTGAGAAAGGTACAAAGACCATTCAATGAGGAAAGGATGGAAGTTTCAACAAAGGGTGCTGGGAAAATTGGATATCCATAGTCAAAACAATGAGATTGTACCCTTACCTTAAACCATATGTAAACATCAACTCAAAATAAATCAAAGGCCTAAACATAAGACTAAAACTATAAAACTCTTAGGAAAAAACAGGGGAAAAGCTTCATGACACTGGATTTGGCAATGACTTCTTAAATATGACACCAAATGCAACAAAAGAAAAAATAAATTGGATATATCAAAATAAAAAACTTCTGTGCATCAAAGGACAAAATCAAAAGAGTGAAAAGGCAATCCACAGAATAGGAGAAAATATTTGCAAATCATATATCTGATAAGAGGTTAATATCTGGAATATACAATGAACACCTACAACTCAACAACAAAACAAACAACCTAATTCAAAAATGGGCAAGAGACTTGAATAGACATTTCTCCAAAGACAATATGCAAATGGATAATAAGCACATGAAAAGATGCTTAAATTCACTAACCACTAAGAAAATGCAAATCAAAACCACAACAATCTACCATCTCATTACTATGAGGATGGCCACTATCAAAAACCAGAAACCAAATGTCAGTGAGGACATGGAGAAATTAGAACCCTGTGCACTACTGGTAGAAATATAAAATGGTATAGCTATGGAAAACACTATGGAAAACATTATGCCAGTTCCTCAAAAAATTAAAATAGAATTACCATATGATCCAGCAATTCCACTTCTGGGTATATCCCCAAAAGAACTTTGAAAGCAAGATCTTGAAGAGAAACTTCTACACCCATGTTCACAGCAGTATTACTCACAATAGCCAAGATATGGAAGCAACCCAAGTGTCCACAGACAAACGAATGAATAAATATAATTCCGTAAATATATACAATGGATTATTTAACCTAACAAAGGAAGGAAATTCTGATACACACTATGACACAGATAAACCTTGAGAACATTATAGTAAGAGAAATAAACCGGTCAAAAAAGAAATAATAATGCATGATTCCACTTATATGAGGCACCTAAAGTAGTCAAATTCATAGAAAATGAAAGTAGACTGGTTGCCAGGGGCTGAGGAGTGGTGGGGTTGGGGGATGGGGAGTTACAGTTGCATGGATCCAGTTTCAGTTTTCCAAGGTGAAAGAGTTCTGGGGATGGATGATGGTATGTTTGCACAACAATGTGAATGTACTAAATCCAACTGAACTATACACTTGAAAATGGTAGGACAGTAAATTTTACATTATGTGTATTTTATCACAATTAAAAAATATATACTGTTAAGCAAACAAGATAAGCTAGACACTAGATACTAGAAGAAAATATTTGTAACTCATGTATCTGACAAAAGACTTGTGTCCATAATATATAAAGAAACCTCAAAACTCAATAATAAAAACCCATTCAAAAAATGGGCAAAAGAGCTGAATAGACATTTCACCAAAAAATATTCAGAGGGCAAAGTATATGAAAAGGTGTTCAACATCATTATTCATCAGGGAAATGCAAATTAAAGCCCCAACAAAATACCACTGCATACTGATTAGAATGGCTAAAATTATAAAGACAAACCATACTTCTGGCAAATATGTGGTAAAAATGGAACTCTCATACACTGCAATAGGGATGTAAAATTAAAAGAAATTTAAAAAATTAAAAAAGGAATGTAAAGTGGTATTACCACTTTAGAAGAGTTTGAAGTTTCCAAAGAACCAAAATGTATACATACCCTTTGATCTAGCCATCCCATTTCTAGGTACTTAACAAAGAGAAATTAAAGCATAAGTACAAAAACTTGTATATATTAAAGCACATATACAAAAACTTGTATATGAGTATTCACAGCAGCTATATTTGTAATAACCAAAACCAGAAACAAACCAAATGACCATCAACTGATGAATGGATAAACAAACTATGGTATATCCATACAATGGACTACCACTCAGCAATAAAAAATTATTGATATGCACAACTATATGGATGAATCTCAAAAGAATTAAGTGAAAGAAGCCAGGCAGAAAAAAAAGAATACATATAAAATGATTCCAGTTAGAAAATTGTAGAAAATACAAACCAATTCATAGTGACAGAAAGCAGGTCAGTGGTTTCCTGGGACAAGAGATAGAAAGATAGCAAGAAGTAGGAGGGAAGGATTACAGTGGGTATAAGAATACTTTGGGGGGTCATGAATATGTGCATTATTTTTTATTGCAGCGATGGTTTCACAGGTATATATGTCAAATTTATAAAACCATATAGTATTTTAATATGTAAAGTTTAGGGGCGCCTGGGTGGCGCAGTCGGTTAAGCGTCCGACTTCAGCCAGGTCACGATCTCACGGTCCGTGAGTTCGAGCCCCGCGTCAGGCTCTGGGCTGATGGCTCAGAGCCTGGAGCCTGGAGCCTGTTTCTGATTCTGTGTCTCCCTCTCTCTCTGCCCCTCCCCCATTCATGCTCTGTCTCTCTCTGTCCCAAAAAATAAATAAACGTTGAAAAAAAAAAAATTAAAAAAAAAAAATATGTAAAGTTTATTGTATACCAATTAATAACTTAATAAATCTGTTAAAAATCATAAAATGATCTCTGTCCCCAAGGAACTAAAATTCTACTGCACAAATTTACTCTATAGAGTTGAAGATATTTCATTTTGGTAAACAGGGAAAGGAAAATTAGAAAAAGTGGACATATAAGAAAAGGCTAACAATATCTCTTGATGCCTATTAAATAATTTCCTTAAAGATGTAATTTTTAATTTTTATTAAATACTTAAGTACTTCAACTTAATAGTTTGTTTATGAAATGCATTAACGAGGTTTAGAACTCAAAAAAATAAAAATGGAACCACCCCAACCACCAGTCAGTAAGTGCCCTTCTACAAAGGTTACCAATGTTATGTTTCATAAATTTAAAATATAATTTGGGACACCTGGGTGGCTCAGTCAGTTAAGCATTTGACTTCAGCTCAGGTCAAGATCTCATGGGTGTGTGAGTTCATGCCCCGCATCAGGCTCTGTGCTAATACCTCAGAGTCTGGAGCCTGCTTCGGATTCTGTGCCTCCCTCTCTCTCTGCCCTCCCCCTACTCACTCTCTCTCTCTCTCTCTCTCAAAAATAAATAAAATTTTTTTAAAAAATAAAGTAAAAAAATAAAATATAATTTAAACCTAACAACAAACTGTAGAAAAACTACAAAATACAGAAATAGTTTTAAATTACTGAAAGGATCCAAAGGTTTACCTGAAGCAGTTTATATTGCTAATAAGTTTGAAACAGCCAAAAAACAATTTTGAAAGAAAAAAACTCTTTTCACATGATGAACAAAAATACATACCTGAAGCAAACCATATTTGGTTTCTACATCATAAAGGTTATAATCCTTAATGTCTGGAGATACAGGGGAAGGTAGATTTTCCCAGTTACCTAAAACATTGGCTAAACTGGCAAAAACTGGTTCTGTACAAAATGCCAAGCAATCCCTGTTTTAAAAAAGAAAAAGATTTATTTATCACCATTTTTTCCCACATTATCAAAATCAAATGTACATAAAATATTAGTGGTCAACAAGAAAGTAGACTTAGATTTATTTTCAACATTAATATAATACACAATTTTCAGAATATGCTCAAAGGAACCTGCAAGTTTCCCACAGACCACCCTGGAGCAAGAGGAGTCAGAAAAGGGCACAGAGAACAGCTCCAGGGGCCTCTATAACTACTTCAATCAGAGCAGCTTTGCTTTTACCTACTTTATATATAATTTTAAAAGGTGTCACAATTTTTTAAATTTTAAATTACTGCTCCTTGATATATAAGAATATTTAGAAATTCAGAAAACATTAGATATTAACATTCAATAGGCTTTATGGAGTAATTATAAAGAACTCAGGCTTTGAAGATGGACAAATACCCAACTTCAAGTCCTAGCATCCCTATCCCCTGACTACGTGACTTGGACACCTCAGCTCTGAGACTCACTTTGCCCATTCGTAAAATGCTGATAAAAAACCACCTTGAAGGGTTACGCGAAGATCAAAGGAGATATTGAATGTAAAGCACACAGCACAGTGACTAGCATGTAAACTCAATAGGTCTTTACTACTGCTATTATCGTTACCAAGTGTTTGAGACTCAAGTGCTAACATTTTATGACTTGGGCTTAGGCTCTGGCAATGGAGAACTACAAGGTAGTGTGGTAACAAAGCTAAACCAAACTTCTGCACCTGGATTGTAAATGCTTAATGGCAAGTATGCCCTTTGCTGTTTCATCTTCCTCCTATTCCTGTGTACCTTTTCTTTCACCTTAAACTCATTTTTCAAGTAAAAGCGAATGCAGAAGCCCAATATACGTGAGAGATTAACACAAAGCTCCTTAGGGTGAGGGAGAGAGTTACACCTGCTCACTATCAACAAAGATGCTACCTTGTTCTTTACTCCCTCATCAAGCTCATTAACACAGTGGACACCAGGCTTTCATCTGCTGAACTGTACTGGAGGAAAACTAATCAAATACGCTAAAGTCTTTCCTACAGTTTTCTGTAATTCCCAGGATTCATGTATTTGAGTTACTCTTATTTTTTTTTTCCTCTCTGTCTTGACCCCAACATCATCCTTGGTCACATCAACACCCATATGATTATTCCTCCAGCTGAAGCCCCCTTATTTTTTTCAAGCATATTCACTTCCATCATCATTTTTACAGTTACATGTGAGAAGGGCTATATCCTCTTCTCAAGAACCACCTCCCAGCCACAGCTACTTACTAGACATTATCTCCTACCTCTTTACTACTTCCACCAAATCTAGCTCACTGGCATCTTTATTCACCAAATTCAAAGTATTGAGTCCTGACCATACACGATTGATTCCTTTCTTTCTCCCAACTATCTCAACAATAAACCATCACCCTTTATTACCCTTTACTGAAAAAACCCTTATGAATCCTTTAATAATCATTACAAGTTTCTTCTACTCTCTTCCTTATGTCATAGGCAGAGGAAAGAAATAGAAAACCCCAGTCTTTTTAAATTCAGTACTAAGTCACATAATGTACTTCAACCTTGCTCTTTTTATTTTTCAGCATTCAAGGACATTCCTTTATAGTTCTCTCATTTAGCTCCTTATTCCATGGCCCCCTTTCCCCATTACTCACCTATTATCCACGTTCTACTTTAAAAAGCATAAAGTTCATCTAACATGAATGACCTCACTTCCCTAAACTTTACCTCAGTATATTAGTGATTAAACCATCATTCTAAAATTTCCTTTGAATTCCTCTTATGGGACTTTATTCACATGATGTCTTGTCTACTGGGCTCCTTTGTACCTATTTTCTAGCTTCCAAACTGCCTTCCTGCTACTGAAATTACTGATTATCAATAATAACCTCTCACTAGTCAAATGTAATGAATTTTTCTCAGTCCTTATTTTCCCTTCACTCAGTGGTCCTCAGTGACTAGGACCACTAGTCCCTCCCTCAGCTCCCTCAGCTCCCATGATGTGCTGTTTTTCTCCTGCTATGTAACAATGATGGCTCATTTCTTTCCCTCACTCTTTTTTTCTCCTCTACATTTTAAGTTCTGTCCTCAGTACTCTGCTCTTTCTACTCATGCTCTTGAAAAATTCTTTTATTCATAGTTTTAATTACTGCCTCTGTTACCCTTAATATACATCACCAACTCTGGGCTTTCACCTGGATTACTTTACTATATAGCACATTTCTTTTGGATAACTCCAGTGTTATTTCTACATTAATTCATTAAAAACTGGAAGTTATTTTTTTCCTACCCTAAAGTTGTCCTCTTTCTATCAATTTTACAGTTTTACAACCTAACAATGAAGATGCCTTAAAGTAACCTTTGAATTGTCTCTCTTAATGACTGCCCACAAATCCCTTCTGTAATATTTAAGTCACTACAAAAGAAGCTACAGAGAGAGCTTCTCCCCTCAAGAGACTTAAAATGTAACGATGAACTATAAGACACACTGATACAAGTTAAAATAACAAATATGGGCAGGATTCTAATAGGTGACATGGTAGAGGCTGATAGAATACACTCTAGAGGAAAACACACAGTTAGGAAAGCTCAGGACAAGCGTGGCAAACAAAACTTAGTCCACTTTGGGATACAGAGTTCACAATAGTAAATGTTACATAAGAGTCAACAACTACACTTTTCTTCTGGGTTTATTCATGAAAAGAAGAGCAATGAAAATATTATCGTGATAAGAGAAATATGGGCATATATCTGGATAGGTACACCATGGTACAGTGGGGAAAAAATATGGGCTCAAGAATCAAGGTGTCATAAGTATGTGGCTTAAGTAATGTCTCTGATCCTCAGTTCTTCCACATAATTTTGAGAGTCGGATAAGTTAAACAAATGTAAAGTATCTAGTACAGTTTTCACAGTAAATATTAGGTTTTTTTCTTTTGGGTTGAAAGAAAGTATCTTCTGCTCTTGAGGGGAGAGGGATCAGTGACAGTGGATTACTAAAGATTCCAAAGTAAGAATTACACAGAAATCCAATATATATGAAGAGATAAAAGCAAAAGTGTCCTGGCTGAAGGTGGACTGGAAGCCTGGAACTCTGCCAGCTCTGTTCCTCTACCTGCCTGTTCTTCCCCATCCTTAAAATTCCAGGGTCCACAGAACACAACTGGCAAACCATTTGGTTAAGATCTTCTGAATTTAGAGAGAGGAATACAGTCTGCTAGGTAGGAAGGAAGGAAGAAAGAAATTAGGGGTTATGACTAATGTGGAAAAAGTTTATATAGCTAGGGTATCATTAAAAGCACCATAAGCTTGAAGATCCAGTTAAGACTACACAACATTAATTTCATATTCTTGTCATTCTCAGCAACAATTCCCAAGATATCCTTGAAAAAAATAAATGGTAGAGTAACTGAGGGCTACTGATATGCTGAGCATATCAGAAAGTTAATCGTTAATCAGAAGTTAAAAGTTAATCAGAAAGTTAAATGTCTAGAAGAGTACCTGAAACATACATAAAAATAGCCTGCAAATATGGAATAAATGCAAAGAATACAAAAAATTCTAGCACATTAGCAAGGAGAGCTACTTTCAGGCAGGGACTGTATGCTATCCTTCTGCATCTTCCACTTTGACTACTGCAGTGCTGAGCACAAAGTAAGCAAATGCAGATTGATGGCAAATGTGAAGAAAATTCCAAAGAGGTAAATACACATAATATACAAGTAAATTTTAGGGAAATAGTAAATCCATAAGAGCTCAACACTCAGTTTATAAGAATTTGTCACTGATAGCATGCCGTACAGACAGAATTTAAATATAAAATTATTTTTAAGTATTTGTTCAAAACAAGTCTTTTATGGAAGTTTTTATAAAAATTTACCTGGACTCTTCTAAAGGATGCTGGACAGTAAGAAGTCGAGGGTGTCGTAATCGAGTTAACTGTTGGACTCCTCGTTTTAGAGAATCGATGATTTGATCCTTTTCAAATTTTTGATATTTGTCAATCAGCTTTTTATCAAAGACAAAAACAGCCACTTCCTAATAAAAGAATAGTGTATCTAATTTTAATCAAGAGTATATAGAAGTAATAAAACTTTACCCGAGTGTCACAATAGTCTACAAATGGAAATAACTAAAATCTAATGTCATAGAAATTATAGCACCACTGTAATACTTTCCTGATATCAAAAAGTTGGTTTCTTCATGATTAGTAAATCTAAATGTTTTTAAAAGTATTAGACCCAGAACCCTCATCTAAGGAGAACATAGGAAAATCTCCATCTTTGAACTCTGGTACACAAAAGGTGCATGTAATGGGTTATATCCCATGTAGTAATCTCTTATTTAACGAGAATTCAAATAAAAGCTAAAATGTTTAAAAATTCAAAATGCTATTCATAATGATAACCCTGGAGTATACTATAAAATCTTGAATCACTTTTTGAAAGAAAGCTTATATATGTCAGGAAATGCTTGTTTACACAAAAACCCATTTTGTAAGCACCTTTTACATATGAATAACCTATATTCACTCTCTCCTTCCACCCTATCCCCATCTTATGGGTAGTAACTGGGAATGAATGGGACAAGTACAGGAAGCTGCTCACCCACTGTGACTCTTTGAGATCATTTATAGCTTATTATCTACAATATTAAAAGCACATATTGTACTTAACTATCTTCTTCCTTTCATTTTCTCTCTTATCCAAGGAAAAATAGTTCCCATCCAGTTACCCAGTCTTAACAAATCACTCAAAAAATAGCTGTATTAATAGTTGATATATTACCATTGTGTAATGCATCAGTGATGCTACATCTCCATCCTAAATGGAAAGAAAAATGATAAAGCTGGAAGCAAAATTAGCAAAGAATCAAGGCTAGCTTTCCAAAATTCTTTGCAAGATTTTGAATGACTTTCACAATGTCTATAGAAATCTCTTTCAAAAACCTCTAATTAAACCTACTACTGCTCAACTACCAATATCTAAGACAGTATCTTTCCATTTTATTGTTCTCTCCTCATTATTTCTGCTACATTAGAATTACTGTTTTTCACAAGTTAGTCTGGCAACCTAATTACCTAACAGAGATTCACTGGAGAATCCCAAACCAATCAATTTCTCAAACACAACTTGTTTTAGGTCGGAGGCTCCTTAAATGTATACAAATAAGTTAAGGGTTTTAGAGGATTAAGTCTCTGAAAAGTGATAACATAAAGGGACTATTTAGTAACTCAACTTGAACATCCCATTCCCAAAGCATTTATGTACTTTTAAGGAATTGTTTCATTCTTCACAATAATCCTACAAGTTATTACCCTCACTTCACAGATGAGGACACTGTGGAGAAGATAAATGTACTATCTAAAGATCTCACAATTGGTAACATCAAGATTTGAATCCAGTCATTTTAACTCTAAGGGCCACATTCTGTCTCCCCAGAAATAATAGAGCCAATAAACACAGAGTACCCCAGTAAAACATAACACATGCCTTCAGGAAAACAATCATTTAAGAGGTTTAAATAGCACTCATATATAAATAATCTTAGCGCTTTTGATCATTGTAAGACACAGAACTATCAAGAAAGAGCTAAGAGCATTATGTAATATTAATTTGAACTAAAAACAAATGACCTAGAAGTTCAAGTTCCTATCTCACTATTCATGAGCACAATCTTATTTTAGTAAGTATTCTGTTATAACACATTTTATAAATGCATCTAATTTAATGCGTTTATTTTTTCAAGATGTTTTGAGTCCTTAAAAAAAAGATCACATGAAATGGCTCTTTGAGCACTTGCAATTTCACTGCTCTTAAGGAAAAACACTACAGTTCAAGAGAAAAAGACACATCACAAAATTCTCTCCCTCAGACATTCATTTATTATTTTAGGTCACAGATAAAAGATTTCTACATAGATCAGAATAGATTATCAACTATATTAAAATGATTTTCTCTTTGTTCCAATCAATTGAAATTAACCAGTTTCAACAAAGTTGTGACTAACACTTAGACCTCATACTGATCTCCTAAAACTCTTAGCCTGCACATCAAAAGTTTTCTTCAGAACAGACAATCACCTAACTTCTATGTTCTCCTTCTGCTACTTCACTACCCACCCTGTTAAGACATCATTTGTGTTAAAGCCCTCTCACCTTAGAAGTATTACAAGCTTCTCAAAGAAGCTTATTAAAGAAACCATGCCAACAAAAAAAAAAAAGAAAAGAAAAGAAAAAGAAAGAAAAAAAGAAAGAAACCATGCTTTAAGCATCTCTGTATCCACCACAGGATTTACACCTAGAAGACACTCAGATGTTTATTACCCAGTGGCGGTCAATAAAGATAAGCAGTTACTGGAAGCTTTCCATTATTGTCCTAAATTAAAACCTTTTTTGACTCTTCATTATGAAAATTTTCAAATATATAGAAAAGCTGAGAAAAGATGAAGGTATCTTAAGTGGATATTTTCCACTTAAGAGTCAACTGTTAACTCTAATTAAATTTTGAGGCTCTTTTTTATACAAAAATTACTAAAACAAAATGTAAGACAATCTTTTGCACTCTATTGTTTACTTATTCACTTCATATTCTTTAAAATAGATTGGCAAAGAAAGTTACCTACTCAAAAGTATTTTTTCTCAACAACCTATCTTTAAGCAAAAAATGGCTGTAAAATAACCTACTCTAAAAACTACTGGTCAAAATGTAGACTACATATTGATACAAACCTAATTTATAATTTTTTAAAGCTATTTTGCTAACTACAAAGTTGAACTCTTGCTGAAAACCAGACAGCTTAAGTAATAAAAATCTAAGTAGATATACACCAATGTGTCTAGGATTTCCTAATAGTAATCATGACCTCCAGTAACCTATCCCTCAAAGCCACCAGGGATGGTTTCTGAGACATAGATATTCCCTGTGAATCTCTATTTTACAGATCTTTTGTGACTGGTCAGTGGTGACAACCATCATGCACTGTATTTTTCATATGATTTGGGAACAATGTTCCTTTCTCAAAATTATAAAACAAAACCTAAATTTTTATTTAGATTAAATTAAAAACAACTTGTTATTTAAGAAGACTCAGAGATAACAAGATATACACCTTAAAATTATTAAAGATAGTCTATGGTCATTATTGACCTAAGCAACTTGACTAACACTTTCAGCTTTCTACAATAATTTCTTTTATTTAAAACTTTTATTTATTATCATTTAACTTTTTATAATAATTTAATTATGCCTTTGCCTACACAATATCAGCAAGCCTCACCCATGAATACTGGCATTTGTATAACATAATGTAGATTTTGCAGTAAGGAAGGGACTATGTCCAAGCCTACATTTGGTAGAGCGGCTAGAATAATGAATATCAGTTAAATATTTATTACATATTTTTAAAATCAGTCTATCTTCATTATCTTCATAGGATGAGTCATTTAACTGAGGGTGTTTTAAAGCTTACACAGCTGTCAAAGCAAAAGAAACAGGGCAGCAAATGTAACTTTTAAGACAAAAATAAGATTAAAGCTGACTTATTTAAAAAAAAAAAAAAAAAAGTCTAGGGGCGCCTGGGTGGCGCAGTCGGTTAAGCGTCCGACTTCAGCCAGGTCACGATCTCGCGGTCCGTGAGTTCGAGCCCCGCGTCAGGCTCTGGGCTGATGGCTCAGAGCCTGGAGCCTGTTTCCGATTCTGTGTCTCCCTCTCTCTCTGCCCCTCCCCCGTTCATGCTCTGTCTCTCTCTGTCCCAAAAATAAATAAAACGTTGAAAAAAAAAAAAAATAAAAAAAAATAAAAAAAAAAAGTCTATTCTAAAACTGGATAAAAAATAATCATAAATGAGACTAGAAGACTATTAATAAATGTTGTTAAATTCATTTTAAGAGTAGTCTCCTGGCAAGAGAATCTTGTGTCAAAATAAACAGAAATACCTATAGTAATAAATGAATGTTTAAACAGTAAACACACCCACATATACACTCTTTTTTAAAAACATCTTCCCCCAGGGGTGCCTGGGTGGCTCACTTGGTTCAGCATCCAACATCGGCTTAGGCCATGATCTGATGGTTCGTGAGTTCAAGTACCACATCAGGATCTGCCCTGAAAATGGAGTCTGCTTGGGATTCTCTTTCTTGTGTGTATATATATACACATACAAAGCAACCATTTCTCACTTATGATTGATACATATAATTTGGCCAAAGATTTCCCTTTAATGGTTTGTGTAATAAAGTAGAATTTAAAAACTAGAAAAGTTAACGAAATCCAATTAAAGGCATTTATCTCAGAAATCTCTCTAAAATAAATATTTTTATAAAGGAAATAAGAATATGTTTGAAAAGAACACCTATGTTTAGATACCATTTTAATCCTAAACAAGCTACTCTGCAGAACTACAAAGTCAGTTATAAAGTTATAACAGAAACACAGCAGAACAAACTCAATGCCCAGTAATTAACTACCTATCAGACATCATAAAAGTTTCAGAAGTAGAGAAGTAAGGAATATTTCACTGAATTTTCAAAAATTAAATGACCCTGAGATCTTGCCATTTGCGACAACATGGATGGACCTAGAGGGCATTATGCGGAGTGAAATAAGTCAGACCAGAAAATCATACCATATGATTTCACTTATATGTGGAATCTAAAAAACAAAACAAATGAATAAACAAACAAAAAGCAGAAACAGACCCATAAATACAGAGAACAAACTAATGGTTGCCAGATGAGAAGATGGGCAAAATGAGTGAAGAGTGGGAGGTACAGGCTTCCAGTTATGGAATAAATAAATCACGGGGATAAAAGGTACAGCATAGGGAATATAGTCAATGGTAAATAGCATTGTGCGGTGACAAATGGTAGCAACACTTATGGTGAGCACATCAAAACGTATTGATTTGTCGAACCACTAAGTAGTACACCTGAAAATAATCTAACATTGTGTATCAAGTATACTTCGCTAAAAAATAAATTAAATAAATAAGATAAAAGTAGATCCTCTGCTCAGAATGCCTAAAATAAAAAAGACTACAAAAAAGTTTGGCAGGAATGTGAAGAAACTATAAATGCTGATGGATACAACCGCTCTGGAAAAACCGACGCTGAACAAACACGAACGCTATTACCCAGCAATTCCATGTCTAGATAATGTGTCATATATACCAATGGCACATTAAGAATGCTCATAGCAGTTCCCCATATAATAATGAAAAACTGCTATGTTCAGCAACATAGATATATCCCATGAACATACATTTAAGGAATGGAAGCCAAACTACAGGAGCACATATACCATGATTCCATTTAAATAAAGTTCAAAAACAGGAAAAGTTACTCTCAAGTGTCAAAGGACCATATAGCAGTTACCCCTAGAGAGAAGGTGGGGAGAGGTAATGACTACGAGAAGACATGAATATTAGCAATGTTTCCTTGATCTGGATACTGGTTATACAGGTGTGCTCACTATGAACATTCATCAAGCTATACGCTCATGATTTGTACACTGTTCTGCATAAGTTCTTAAAAATACATTTATATTTAAAACTCTAAATAGGCACAATTTTCATTCCATAAATGTCACCCTGAAATGTCTTACATCTCTATTGAGATTCTAGAAAGAGTAAGGGTTAGGAACTAAATAGTATTTAGTCTAAATACTAGTAAATTTAGTATTTAGTATTTACTAGTATTTTACTAGTATTTAGTATTTACTAGTATTTAGTATTACTAGTATAGTCTAAATACTAGTAAAAAATAAATAGTATTTAAGTCTAAATAGTAGCTTCAAATGCTAAGAAGCTATAATTAATTATCCATTTTAACATGTTTACAAGTTGTGTTTGGTTAAGCTTACCCAAATAATAGCTTTTAAAAATCTTAATTTTGCATACAAAATTATTTTGTATACAAACCTAGCCTAAACACCTTATTTAGTTGCAAAAAAAAAAAAAATCAACTTTACACTTTTCTTGAAACTCTTAGGAATTGTTCATTGCACTTCATGAATTACTCACTATGAGATGTTTCTTCAATGAATGTCTTTGTAAAACAATAAAAACTAGCAAAAACTGGTTTTGGAAGCATAAAGCCAGAATAATAATAATAACAGACATCCAATCAGGTACAATGACGTTACCATGCACACAAGTAAATTTTTATTTACCAATTCTTTTTATCTTGCTACATTCCAGGTTTCATAAATATGTACTTTTTTTCATCTGTTTTGTAGGTGCTTTTATTACTACTCCACTCCTCTCAGAAACCTTCATTTAGGTTAAAAAGTCAAAAGTTGTACATGATCCGAAATTATAATTCATCGTGTACTGTTGTGAACTTCAAATAACTTTGGCAAAAAGTACACAAAGAGAATCTCCTAGCCCTAGTACCTAACCTGATGTTTACTTCAAAGTCAAATTTAAGATCATATAATCTGCTATAAAACACAAATTCAATCAAGTACACTGTATGCTAGATCAAGAAAGACTGCGAGAGTTTAAAAAAAAAAAAAAAAGCTCTCAGTCTCAGTGTCCCTTTATGTGGGGGGAAAAAGACGAAGAAGAATATCCTTTTCATTATTTTTCTCCTGGCTTCTCTAAGATCAACACTGTCATACATAATTTTCTGTGATGATAGAAAGTTCTATGCCTGCGATGTCTAATATGGTAGTACTAGCCATATATTGCTAAGGAACATTCCAAATGTGACTACTGCAACCAAATTTAATTTTTACGAATTGTAATAGGCATATGTAGCTTGTGGTTACCATACTGGATAGCACAGCTCCAGATTATCTATCTTCTATGATTCCCTTTTAATAAAAAATGAGATAACTAAAAAAGAATTAAAACTTTGAGTAAGGGAAAAATTAAAATGAGGCTTCAACTCCAAGGTGGTTACAGATGTAGCTATTCCTTAAGGAACTAGCCAGTAGTCCAGATAGGATACTCAGTTTAAAACACCGTAGGTTTGAAAGAGGCAAAGAAAGAAGATTCAAAACTACATCCAAGAATGTAGATCCATCCACAAAACCACGAATACATTCCAAAACTATCTTTTTCCACAAAGCAATAAATTTGGGTGTGGGGGGTGGGGGATATAGTGGTTTCCTAAGAGAACCCAATTCTGGCAGTGAGCAGTGAGAATGGCTGTATTATTGTGCAATATCTAATTAATTACCTATTATTTGTGCCTGGTTTTCATGTTCTATGAACAACAACAGAAGCTTCAACATTATCAGAGAATTTCAGCATATGAACTGCTGATATAAACACAAACACCTAGAAACTCTTTCAGTTAAGCACAAAGACACTATTAGGTTACATCCTTAATAAATAATGCAAAATTTAGTACATTTGGTGTTCTTTGATTTGCCAATAATATAACTGATTATAAAAGCTAGTGTTGGAGGTTGATCATTTACATAACTTCGTGGCCTCATTAATAGCTTAAGCATTCAATACTCCAGAAACCACTTATTTTTTAGTGAGCTTGGTGAACTGAGAAAACAATGTTGAAAAATGACAAATCAATCAGCATTTAAGATAAGATCAGCTCTGAACTTAAAGACTTCCAACCAAATGGCAATAAAAACAAGATTTACAGTCAGATACATACCACATACCAGCAATCTATCACAAGACCAAGGTTCCTACTTCATAAAAGGATAACCAAAGCCAATTGAGTCTTTAATATACTTGTTTGGCAAATAAGCTGATTTTGGAAAAGTCACAAATAATGTATATCCACAATTGTATGACTGTGACAGTTACTGGAAAATATGTGTAATAAATCCCAAACGCCTTACAATCCATATGTTTCACTTGTAGAGAAATAAAAGTACTTTTAGAAACAGTAATTTTTATTTTTAAAGAATACATTTCTACAGAGGTTTTAAACCTGGAGGTTTTTCAATCCTTTAAAAATTCCAACAGAAAACTGTTAGTAAAATTTAACACTAACAATCCTCCACATTTCTGAGAACCATCTGTTGCTCTCTTAAGTCAAATTAAAAAATAAAAAATAAAAATACAACTCATTCAAATGACTCTGCTAAAAGAACAGTTACTTTTAAAATAACTTTGAAATCAGTATATCTCAAAACACATTTACCGGCTATTCCACAAATGTACCCCTTTCTGATAATAAAATCAAGTTAAACACAAAAGAATGTTACAGAAGTCTATTTTCCAGAAAATAGACTTTTATTTTATATAAAATAAAAGGGGAATAAGAATGCACTAAATAAGAATGCATTTAATGTTGGAAAATTTAACTGAGTATTTTGCCAATAGCTTACTGACAAATTTGAAAAGGAACACAATTTTTATTCCAAAACAAATACTTTGCTAAAAATCTAATATGCTCCTTTACTCAACAGAAACATTTATTTTATTAAGTAATCAAAATTAAATTACAAGATGGGGTGATATATCAAACAATGTATTTGTAACCAGGAGATTCAGGGCATGTTTAAAAGCGTTTATTTTTGTATGACTTCATTAGATGGAAATGAGAAGTAAAGAACCCATTACTTTTGGCATTTCTTAACATAAAAACATATATGCACATTATACTACTTATTAACATGTGCATTTTTTGCCAATGGACTCTGAATTAAAACTTACCTGTTTTGTTGACTTTTTTGTGCCATTGAAAATCTTCCAAGCTAGCCCATTGCCACCACTGGCAATGTGTCGACCAACATCAAATTCTCTAGTGACAGGATTTCCCATTACAGCACTAGTGACATCAGCTGTTACTTTCGTAACAGTACTCTTTAACTTATTAAGCATGGACTCCATGGCTGCAATATTGAGTAGTTACCTAGAAACACAGGGGAACGGGGGAACGTTGATCATTTGTTTTTACTTGTTTCAGCACTTAACATTCATTATTTAGTCTGAAAACTTAATATACCCCAAAAAGGGAATGAAACAATTCTAGAGTATAAAAGCTACATGTTGGTTTTGTCTTCAAAGAACCCAATACATTCTAATGCAATTTAAATCTAGGAACCAAACTGTTCCTTTCAACCTCAATTATTACAGACCAGGAAGAGAAAAGACACTTGATGCTGACATGAATGTTGTTCAACTATATAACATGAACCCTCAATACTTTAAGGGTATTAGAGGGCCCAAATCTTTCTTCAGACTAAAAACAGCCATATAAAACCTGAAAGGAGCTAATGCTATCTATACTAAACAAGAAGTTTGTATTTGATACAAGTTTCATTCACTAATAAAATAATCATTGAGGGGCACCTGGCAGCCTCAGTCACAAGAACGTGTGATTCTTGATCTTGGGGTCGTAAGTTTGAGCCCCAAGTTGGGTATAAGATTACAAAAATAAATAAATAAACTTCAGAAAAATAAAATAAGGCGCCTTATATGATAAGGCGCCTTATGATATAAGGCGCCTTGGTGGCTTGGTTGGTTATGCATCCAACTGTTGGTTTCAGCTCAGGTCAGGATCTCATGGTCATAGGATCAAGCCCCACATTGGGCTCTGTGCTGGGCATGGAGCCTGCTTGGGATTCTCTCTCTCCCTCTCTCTGCCCCTCTCCCCAGCTTATGCTTGCATACACTCACTCTCTCTCAAAATAAATAAATAAGCATTAAAAAAAGAGAGACAAAGAGAAGCATTTGGAGAAATTTTAAAAATAATAAGTAAAATAACTACTGTTGACCTATGAAATCACTCAAGAATATCTTCTAAAAGAAAAGCATTGATGGCAAAAGGACAGTAAAATATGCACAAGGGCAAAAGGACAGTAAAATATGCACAAGCAGTAAGTCATAAAATATTTTTCTTTTAATATTTATTTTTGAAAGAGAGAGGGAAGGAGGGGCAGAGAGAGAATCCCAAGCAGGCTCTACCCTGTTAGTGCGGAGCCCAATGCAGGGCTCCAACTCATAAACTGTGAGATCATGACCCGAGTCAAAATCAAGAGTCAGATGCTTAACGGACTGAGTCACCCAGGCACCCCTCATAAAATATTTTTAAAATTTTACACACTTCTGGCCATGATGTAGGAACAAAGACTGAATTTATCCTCTTACCTTAAACAGCTAGAAGCTGGACAAAATGTATGAAATTAATGTTTTCAGGCAGCACAGGTAGGTAATCCCAATGAGAAAGCAAACTAACAAGGTGAACCCCAGGATTGCTCCAGCTTTCTGCCTAGAGGTACACTGCAAACCACAGAGTAGAGAGCAGAATTCCAAGCAGCGGTCTAGCTGAGTTAAAGAGTTGAGGAGAGGAGCTCCTTGGCAGCTCAGTTGGTTACGCGTCCGACTGCGGCTCAGGTCATGATCTCACAGCTCGAGTTGGAGCCCCGTGTCAGGCTCTGTGCTGACAGCTCAGAGCCTGGACCCTGCTAAGGATTCTGTGTCTTCCTCTCTCTCTGACCCTCCCCCGTTCATGCTCTGTCTCTCTCTGTCTCAAAAATAAATAAATGTTAAAAAAAAAACTCTTTTTTTTAAAAGAGTTGAGACAAATTGGAGTTCAAGGATGCAGAAGTGCCTAGGAGTTCTGGGATACAATTTCAAAGAGAAAGGGGAAAATTAGGGAACAAGAGAGAAAGAAAGAGAAAGAGAGAAGGAAACTATGCTAAGAAAGAGCTCAGAAATTTTCAGAGAAATCTGAGGCACTGTTGAACACTAAGATGCCCACACATGGTATGAAACTCCACCAAGTCAGGCAAGGACCAACTAGAGAGCTGTAAGCTGAATAGTTCCAGAGTCCACACAGGGCTGCAATTCATTTAATTTCTCACCAGCTAGAGTAGAGTACTCAATGCTCAACCAAAAGCATTCAGTAGAAACCCCAAAAGAACCATGCCTTAGTAGTGAGAAAAACTGTTCTCAGAGTAAAATCTACTCTAAACCTGCCCTAAAAAACTAAAAGTAAGCCTCAAATGATCAAACTAATCATGAATTACTTAACTGACCAGAATGAAACCCAATACTCATGAAAGAAAGACAAAAAAAATTTCAGAAGCCTAACAATGTAACATTCACAATGTTCACCATGCAATCAATAAATATTAGATTTGCCAAGAAGCAAGAAAATGTGCTCATAATCAAGAACAAATCAGTCAATAAATCCTCCAAAATGATAGGTTATAGACATTAAAAACATTAAAAAGCTATCATAAAGGAACCTGGGTGGCCCAGTTGGTTAAGTATCCAACTCCTGGTTTAGGCTCAGGTCATGATCTCACAGTTCGTGAGTTTGAGCCCCCTATTGGGCTCTGTGTTGGCAGCACAGAATCGGCTTGGGATCTTCTCTCTCCTTCTCTATCTGCCCCTCCCCTGTTCACTCACTCTCTCTCAAAATAAATAAACTTAAAAAAAAAAAAAATCTATCACATATCTAAGTATTTCAAGGAAAACACAAACATAATGAAGAAAATAAGTCTTTTTTTAAAAACCCAAATGAAAATTCTAGAGATAAAAAGTAAAATATTTCAAATAAAAAATTTAGAGGATATGATTAACAAATTAGAGAAAGTAGGAAAAAAAAATTAGTAAAACCTGAAGGTAGAGTAAAAGCCTAGGGAAAAAAAAAATGAACAAAGTCTCGATGACCTGTGAGACAATATCACAGTAATAACATATATAACTGAATCCCAAAAGTAAGAAGGAAAAGGGAAAAATAATATTGGAAAGCATAATGGCCAAAATGTTTCTGAATTTGATGAAAACTATACAAGGTGTCAAGAAATTCAATAAACCACAAGCAGGATAAACAGAAAACCATGTTTGGACATGTCATATTAAATAGCTAAAAGTCAGTAAGAGAAAATCTTAAAAGCAGCCAGAGGGAACAGGAAAATTACATAGAAAGGAAAAAAGATAAGAATTTTCCCCAGACTTCTAATCAGAAAATATACAAGCCAGGGAACAACTGAATGGAGGTCTGTAAACTGCTAAAAAAAGCAAACAAAAAAACAAAAACACCTGTCAACCTAGAATTCTATAAGGCAGGGGAAAAAAAAACTTTCAAAAATAAATGTGAAATATTTCTTCAGGAAAACAAAATCTGAGAGAATTTATTCACTAGAAGAGATATTAAAAGAAGTCCTTCAAACAGAAGGAAAAAGATACCAGATGGAAATGTGAATCCATAAAAAGAATGGAGACACTAGAAATAAAAATTACGTGGGTTTATAAAAAAACTTCTCAAGTTATTTTTAAAAGATAACTGATCATTTAAAGCAAAAAAACAAAATACATATACCTATA